AGCTGGGTGAGTGAGCTATGCGAATAGCGCCAGTCTCGCCTTGCGAGGGTGGTGCGTTGTGCGACGAGTACTAGTTTGGCTCTCTAAATTTTCTCTTATGTTGCGTTTGGTTAGTGTGTTCTTTGGTTGTTGGTGAAGCATTCTTTTGCATATATAGTATTGTATTGTGATATTCAAACAAGTATGTGGATTGTAGCAAAAAGTGTATGGTTATAAAGTGGTGGAAAGACGATCCAAGTTGTAAACCAAGTTCCATCTGTGTAGAATCTCTTGGGGAGATTCTTAGTGTTTAGAATGAGAGTAGGAGCTCAGTTTTGGGGGTCATCCTTAAACTCCAATGATCTTTCTTCTCACGTAGAGAGGATTGAACCATGTGGTGAGGAGTAGTAGGAGATCTTAGTCTTGGGGGCTTCCAGTATGCCTCAAGGCCCGGAACAGACTAACCTCGTGAGTGTGGTAGGGTGGGGGAACCCAAGTTTCATAAGCCACCACGAGTGCAAGACCCGCCATAGCTCGACTATCATTCTAAAGTCCGGACGAGTCAAGTCTAGTATCCAACATGTTAGGATGCGTGTTTATCTTGCTTGAAGAAAGTTAACTCTTGCATGCATGATTATCATATTGTATGTTTTTCTTTTATATAATTAGCTCACCCTTGCTTGTTTGTGTTGGTGCTATGTTTATGTATGATTCCTCTCGTGATGATCATCCACTTGGATGACAGCAGATGTCGAGGAGGTACCCCTAGAGCAAGCATTGGAGGAAGGTGACGCTAAATCCTAGTTTCATTAGGAAAACATTATTTTAACTTATGCATTTTGAAAAATTGTAATTTGTAGAACCCATGACATTTTGGAAGACTCTAACCTCAAACTTTGGCTTCGTGGCATTTTAAGGATGAGTGTAGTTTTCAATATTCAGTTATATGTTTTGAAGTGCTTTCTATTATTATAACTCGTTGACGTCTTTATTATATATGCATCCAGTATATTTTGGGACGTCACAAAAAGAAAATTCTTTATATGTTATTTATTATTATTTTTTATTATCATAAAAAAAAATAGTGTATTTTCATTAATCAAAATCTTTAAGGTTAAACACTTTCAAAAATTAATTGATTGGGTATTTTTCCCGGGGTCCGGGTGAGGACAGACACCATCTTTGTAGCAGTTTTTCATGAGCCAGTAAGTGTTTCATTCTATTCCCGCCTTGAAGAACTGAAACCCCAACTGTGAGAGAGATGTGTGGGAGAACACGTTGTACTCTTAGGTCTGATGATGTTCCAAGGGCCTGTCACCGCAGTGATACTCCTACTCGTGCTCTCCATATGGACCGGTAAAAGCTATAACTTCAACATCTCAACAATCACAACCACACAAAGCTAGCTCTTTCGAGTTTCCCTATTTTTTTTTTCATGTTTTGCCAGAACACAACCAGCAAGCTTTTTGCGAGTTTTCAGTTTTTCTATTGGTTCCTTTTTCTGTTGTGTTGGGTTCACTGCAACTGATTCTGAAAATGGCATGACTGTTAACCATATAAAAGGAAAATGAATCTTGTTTCGTTAGATGGGGATAAAGGAAGAAAAAAAGGAACCTTTTTTTGCTTTTCTTCTTTTAAGTTTGTTGTGTTGGGGGTTCTTCAGGTCGGTCTACAATTCCTTGGAAAAGATGACGAATCGTGACTCCGCAGTTGGATTTTTTACACATTCACACTGTTTGCCAAATCAAAATTTTTTATCTCGGTACAGCGGACTCAAAACACACATTTCTGATCTTCATTAGTTATTATGTTTCATTGATTGTGTAAATGTGTAAAAAACTCCACTCCTGGGAAGTTGGTTCCTGAATATGAATGCAATGATTAGAGATATTGCTATATTATTATTATTATTATTATTTTCTTTTGGTCAAGAATGATGGGACTTTTATGTTTTGAAAGAAATAGGTTTTTGTGGATTTGTATTTCACAGTTGAATTTTACTACGTGCTTAGGTATAGGCCGGCCTATAATGTATCACCGGGCTCCAACATGCCAGTAGTTCGGAGAGAAGATGCATCTGACAATGGTGGCTATGTTCTCCATTGCATGAAATGGGGTTTAATCCCCAGTTTTACAAAGAAAACAGAGAAACCTGATCACTACAAGATGGTATAGTTTATGGATTCAATACTTTTTCTTCTTATTTATTGGGTGGATGGGAGCTTGAAAATCAGTAATGGAACTTAACTCAAGTTTTGTAGGCATGAATGATTAGAGTAACTTTAATAGAATGCGAATAAGTAATTAGTTGTAATACTCGTCAATAGTATAAACTGTATACTAATAAGAAGCTAACCATAGAAATCCTTAGCTTCTTACATTTATAAGCAAACCAAGGTTCAATAGTTGTAAGATCTTATGTTTATCTCTAACTTTGGTTTCATTTGATTTATATGGGGATTATTATAGAAGTGATAAGGAAACATATTATCTTAATTTATGTATATATTTATGTACTATTATTTATCCTGTCATTTCTTGGGAATTAATTGCTTTAATTTAGATAAAATAATTGAGATATTTGGTATATTTTGTCAGACTTGATTGTATAATAGATGACAACATAGATGACAACAGCTGCAATTAAAATTTAAATTTTCCTTTTCTATGGTTAAAATAACACAAATTATGGTTATTGGAAGAGAGATGCTGCGCATAGTATGGACAAATTCAGGGGAGGGGTGCTGAGGACAGATTCTTCCCTGTATTGTTGAGTTATTTTTTGATTCTGAGGATATGTTATATAATAATAACTTCAGATGAATCAAATGAATAATTTTGATTAACTATATTAGCAACAGTTAAATTTAGAGGGGGGAATAGTGTCTTTTTGAGATGATTGAGGGAAATGAAGAGCTATTTTATAATTGTAGAATGTGTTTCCTATGTTCTGCATACCATCCATGTGTATAGACTCTTGATAGGCTTACTGGTGTTGGAGATTAATTCCTATGAATGTAACAAGTAATGCAACGTCACTGGCAATAATGAACATTAAATAAATTTTAACATGTGGATGTGTGATAGGATATGCAATGTGTATGTTAGGAGGAAACATATTAAAAAATAATTGTTGGTCTGGTTGTTAGGATGAGTGAGACTTTCTATATGTAGTTGGGGGTCTTTGTATGTGGGGGACGTTTTTGGAAGTCTGGAGAGTTGTTGACAGGATCATTGACATCCTGTGTGAAGGGAACATTGTCCCTTGGATGCATTCATGCGGTACTTGTTTCTAGAATCAATAATACGAGATCTATTCAGTGAGTTTGGGTGTTTGCATTTGTTTTCCTGGTTTCCTCTATCTAGAAACCTAATAATATGATACATGAACTGCACAAACTTTTAACAGCAAATCAAGTTTTAAGTTAAGGTCAACTATTCTACGAGGTGTTGTTTATTTGAGGTTTTAGCTTGACCACTTTGCTCACATTGTAATTAATGATTAAACAATGCTAAGAATTATAGTGGGTGTATGATGCACCTATGCTCATTGTTAGGTTTCTACCTCTTTTATAGCATATGGGTATTTTGGAAGCCACTGGTAAATCAGGGCAGCTAGAAGTTCCTTTTGATTTTTCCATGGTGCTTTGTAACTTTTATTATTATGATGGACAGTATGGTTTTTAACCGTCTTTGTTGTTGATAGGATGATGAGGGTGTATGTTAGGAGAAAGAAGAGTATGTGAGTAGTTAGTTGCATTAGCTGGCCTAACTGTCTGACAGTTAGAAAAGGGGAACACTTATTGTGTATAAATAGTTAAGGGGAATAAGGGGAGAGGGATTGGACTGTTAGTAGTTTCTAAAACAGGATTTGGTTATCCTTGTTGGGGAAGGTTAAGCTTCCTTTGTTCTTCCTATTCTTGCATTCTTTCTTGAAAGTCAATAATATCAGAGGTTATACAGACTTTCTGTACTGTTTCCGAGAGTTGTTGAGTGAGAGATAGGAATTCTTTAACAAGAAACCTATCAGTTGTCCTGTGCAGGGAAGAATTATCTATGGAAATTTGTGAATTTCTTGAGTCTTTATTCTGAATAAGGGTACAATTAGAATTGCTCAATTTGTCATTAAAATGTTAAATTTAAAATAACCTTGATTGTGATCCGGGTTCCTTATTGAATTCTTGATTAATTTTCAATCTCTCTTAAATATCATCATATCATTCCTGAAATATGTCATTTTAGCTAATGTTCATTATGAAATTTCTTGGTTTGTTTACTGTTTTCGTTATCATTATTGGAGTATGTCAACTACCTTAGTCATAATCTGTCAAACAAAGTTCTCAGTTTGATGTGGAATGTGCTCTATACTGTAGTTTAATGCTCGATCTGAGTCTATAGATGAAAAGGCATCATTTCGTCGTTTGCTTCCTAAAAGCAGGTGCCTTGTAGCAGTTGAAGGGTATGTATCACATTTCTTTAATTATATTTTCAGATCTCTTCTTATAACATGACTTGGGGGTGCTTCCGCATGCTGGAGCTTTTTGTTCGAATAACATAAGTAATTCCTTGAATTTGAGGACTGGGAGTCTCTTTAGAATGAGGGATGGGAAATTAGCTAATACTTTTCCTTGCTTCTTCACTGTGCTTGCATTTTGAATGATATATAGCAGACTTAGATTCTAGTCAAATAACAGAATGCAAAATGGAAAATAACCGAATGCAAATTGGCAGGTAGCAGAATGCAAAAATACTAAATACAGTCTATCATCTATATTCCCAATATTAAGGTAGCCTATACTATAGTGCCAACAGAGCGTCCCATAACAGAATTTGGTTCACTAGATGCTTTGGTTGGATAATCTTCCACTTGGGTCGTTCACTCGCAACCCTAACTTGCATTTAGTCCGAAGTCCCTTTATCAGCCCATGTCCTATCACTTTTATTCCTATACTGTTTCTTCTAATATTATAGTATAAAAATGCTTTTGAATATTGCATGTACTGTCTAGTTCTTCGTAAGACCTTTTTCGTTGTGTTTCCTGAAAATGTATGAGCTGAATCAAAATGAGTTGTGCTTGCTGGTTAGACAATGCACTCTTATCTTACTGTTTCATACATAATAGTATTTGAGAGTTGACATGTATTCTTCATTAGGACGAGATTAATTCAATAAAGACAACCGTTATGCTAATTTTTAAGCATATATAACTTTGCCTATTATTATAATTTTAGTCTTTTATTCTTATTATATATTTTATGCCATATTGGTCTCCTATTCTTATGTTCAAAATGTTGATTCAACGTATTCCTTCTAACAAGAGGTTTCCTTTCTTTATGGTTTCTATAAATTTTCCTAATTTTTGTGGATTACATCCGTGATTTGCATATTTGTGGCTTTATATTCAGTTCTTTCAATTGATTTGCTTTTCTAAATATATGTTTAAGATTTTATGAGTGGAAAAAGGATTGTTCAAAGAAACAGCCTTACTATATTCACTTCAAAGATGGACGTCCCCTTGTCTTTGCTGCTCTTTATGACTCATGGCAAAATTCTGAAGGTAATCATTTCTGCCAAAAGATTTAAGGAACTAAATTTGTATACTATGAAAGACAAGACAGCATATATTGTTGATGTGATATTGTTAACTGCAGGTGAAACACTATACACATTCACTATTGTTACGACCTCTTCATCTTCAGCACTTCAGTGGCTTCACGGTGAGTCACGCAATCTAAATTTTGGCATACCAACGGAAATGACCTCTTATTTGGGATTTTCCATTGTTCGATATTCTCAACTTTTTATAGTTCTTGTGCCACTACTATTGAAATTTCTAACTAGGTATGCCTCCTTTTCCTTTTTTAAATTAATAAAGAACTCTTGAAGAGCATAAGTTTCCTACCAAGGATCAACATGTGGAAATTGGCTAAACCTTTGCTGTATCTAGAATATATTCGGAAAAGGGAAGAGGGGAGATGTTTTCATTGTGGTGGTCCTTATAGCCCAGGCCATAGGTGTCTGAAAAAGAAAATTAGGATATTGATCATGGCTGAGGATGAGGAGGAAGGTGAAGGGGAAGAGGAGAAAAAAATGGAACAAAGGCATATGGAACTTTCTGGTAGGATACTAAGAGTCTATAAGAGAAGGGAGAGAACATAGACTGTTAAGAGGTTAGTTAACTACTGTGAGTAAGGGGCGATGCATTTGAATTAATGCAACGGGTAGTAGTTAGACTGTTGGGGGGAAAGATGATACGCTGTCGTTGAAGCTATCAAATTAATATTACTTTTCAAGGCAACTTCAATATTGCCAAGTCAGTAGTCAAGAAAGTAGATAGGGTTAAAGTAACCCTGAGTCGTCTCCCAACGAATATGGAATTGCTTTTCAATATTTGAATCTTATGAATGCTATGCAATGCTCAAGAATGAAAGTAAGAAACTATGCTAATGGAATTAATGTTTGAAGAATGTTTGAAGAACAAAGAGGAAACTTAGAAACAATTATGATGAAATAGGCTAATTTCACTGCTTTTCCAAGATAGATTCATCATTGGTTATCCACAAATAATTGTTCAATTGATTATTGTTCAAGTTTCAAATTAATTAAAGTACATTCTTAATTAATTTGAGGGCGATCATGCATTTAACCAAAGTAGATTCTCAATCAAATGCAAGACCTTTCTAGATTATTCACAATGAATTCAACCAAAGTACATTCTCAATCAAATTCTTTTGTGTTTAATCATGTCTATTCTTAAATCTCTTAACCAAATTAAAAGCTAATTAATTAAAGTAAATTCTCAATTAATTATAGTTGAAATTATTACCACCAACTAAAGTACATTCTTAATTGATAGTAAAAACTCGTTTAATCATATGAAAGTTCCTAAATTTAATCAAAGTAAATTCTCAACCAAACCTAGAAACCCTTGAACTCATATGATTAATATGCATGTAGATTCAAACACGTTATGATGCAAAAATCATTGCTTTTAATATGATCGAGAGATGAAAGACATAGAAAGAAGAATAACTCAAATCAATAATCAAAAGAAACAAATGCATTAATTCAACTTAACCGCAAAATCCATAATGAAATTACAGTGGAATAGCTCTAGGAGCTTAGCCCTCCATGAATGGAGTGAATATATGATGAAATAAAATGAGAGGAGTGATGAATGAATGCTTCCAAGTGGAGGAGTATGAGAATCAATGAGTTGTGCCTCCCCTGGGTCTTATGAGAATATGGGGAAATCTTCAGAGAACCTACACAATTGCCACCCAGGAGAGACCTGGATCATAAGATTCCCATAAGAGTCAGAGTGGACCTGGTTAATGTGAGGTTTGTTTTTATATTGGTTCGCTATAAACTAAGCTATGTCCAGTTCTCCTTTAAATTCCTTTAAGGGGTTCCACTAATCAAGAATGATTACAAATGAGTTTAATCTCTCTGATAGGTTCAAAGGAAATGTTTATATTAGGAGAAATAAAAGGGACAGACGGTTATAATTGTTTGTGGGTAGGTTTTGTTGTCTCAGACTTTTATAAAGTCTGTGTAGGTAGCTGTTTTTAGTAGTGTTTTTAGGAAGTTTTGTAAAGAGAAGGCTAGGGAGAGTCTAGTCCTCTCGAAAGGTTAGGGCTAGTGTAACTGTTTGGATTATTGTGCTTGTTTCATTGTTAATAAAGTTGTCTGGTTTTTCTGGGTGAACATCCAAGAACCTGTCTTGGAAGTCTTTACAATTTTTAATAAATCTGGGTACCTATCATTGGTATCAGAGCCACTTTCCTAGTGCTGTGGTGGCTATGCGGCATGGTCAATACGAGAATGGAGGCAAGATTGGATGGATTGGAGTGCATAGTGCAAGAACAAGAACATGAAAATCAGAGAAGGTTCCAAAGGTTGGAGAAAATGCTTACAAGGCTGACAGGGTTGGTGGAATGTTTCACATCCTCTGATAAATAAACAATAGATAGTGCTTTTGTTGCCAAGGAAGGCAGTGCGGGAAATCTAAAGAGTGACGGAGGAATGAAAGTGGACGTTCAGGACTGACTGGGGAAAAATGGAGGAAGCTAGATATTCTTGTTTTTGCAGGAGAAGATGCTTATGGCTGGACTACCCGGTTGGAGAGATATTTCTGGTTGAAAGAAGTCAATGAGGAGGAGAGGATGAGTGCTGTTATGGTGGCTTTGGAGGGAAAAGCCTTGAATTGGTTTCAGTAGTGGGAGACCTACTATCTGAATCCCACATGGGAGGCTTTCAAATAAGCTGTTGTTCAACAGTTCCAATCAACAATGCTTCAAAATCCTTTTGAAGTCTAGATTGGGCTTAAACAAATTGGGAGGTGGGAGAGTATATTGAACAATTTGAGCAATATGTGGGGTTCTTGAAAGGTATAAGGGAGGATTATTTGACTGACATTTTTCTGAATGGATTGAAGGACGAAATAAGGGCAGAGGTTAAGTTGTATGAGCCCAAGAGCCTTGTTGAGTTAATGATGAAGGCTCAAATGGTGGAGGAAAAGGCTAGAGTCACCACCAAGGGGGACCCTTTCACTGTGCAACTTCAAAGTATTACCTACAGACAATTGCCACCTACTCACAGTTACTCAAAGGACGGGGGAAATTCAGTGGGTTTTACCAACTCCAACAGAGGAAGTAGAGAGAGTAGTGGCTGTGTGAGCGCCATCAATAGTTCTCCTGCTGGGACTCAACAAGGAGAGGCACCATTTAGAAAATTGTCCCAAGAAGAATTGTAAGATAAGATAAAAAAAAGGCTTATGCTTCAGGTGTGATGAAAAGTTTGGGCCTAATCATACTTGCAAAAATAAACAACTTTATATGCTGCTTATTTCGAAAGAGGAAATTCAGGAGTTAAGGGAATCTATTGCCCGCCTTCATGAAGAAATTCCAGACTCTCACCTTGAGGATAAGGTGCACCTTCGTGGAGCGGGGTGTTGATAGGTTTGATTCAGTTTACAAAATAAGGAAAAAAGTTCGTACAGTTGAAAACACCTCCCACCCATTGAAAATAGCTAGGAAGATGCTACTGCCATCAATAAGGACTTTCCTGCTTTTCACCTTGAGGACAAGGTGAAACTTCATGGATGAGGTATTGATAGGTTCAAAGGAAATGTTTATATTAGGAGAAATAAAAGGGATAGACAGTTGTCTATGGGTAGGTTTTGTTGTCTCAGACTTTTATAAAGTTTGTGTAGGTAATTGTTTTTAGTAGTTTTTGTAGGAAGTTTTGTAAAGGAAAGGCTAGGGAGAGTCTAGTCCTCTCGAAAAACCAGGGCTAGTGTTACTGTTTGGATTATTGTGCTTGTTTCATTGTTAATAAAGTTGTCTGGTTTTTTTTGGGTGAACATCCAAGAACATGTCTTGGAAGTCTTTACAGTTTTAAATAAATCTGAGTACCTATTAGACGCTTTTGTGATTAGACATTCTGTTATGAACTCTATAGCGTTTAGCGCTTATTAGTCATACGTTAGACACTCTTAGTTATTAGATTCTCTTGTATTGTTTAAGTACTTAAAGAGTAGTATTTAGTGTTTCTAACATATTGTCCTAGACGATTAAGCACTATTTCATTTTAGATGTCATGCTAAACTTCAAAATAATGTTTGTTTAGACAATCTTGTTTTAATAATAATGAAAATGTGGGATAGGCCCAAATACAAATACATATGTAAAAATGACATAATTAACATAGGAAGTATGTTTCCCTGATTAACATGAAACGTAATATATCTAATATTAAGCTCAAGGAAAAAGAGTAACAATTAGCTGAAACTGTGTGACAGCATGGGGGCTTTGTTCATATTGGGTAAAAGGATTCAATAAATAGATGAGATTTGATATCCTCAAATAATAGAGACATGATACAGAAATAAATAAAAGTGTTTCTAACAATACATATATAATCTAGATATTCCTGATTATATATAAAATCAGCTCCTTATTTCTATAATTATAACAGTATTTTTATAATTATAACAATTATATTGGCGAAATACTCATTATGTATCTACGTTACTGTAACTCCTTAGATAGGATGCCTGTTATTTTGGGCAGCAAGGAATCAACTGATACCTGGCTAAGCAGTTCTGGTTCCAGTTTTAAGAGTGTGATGAAACCATATGAAGAATCTGATTTGGTATGTGTTTTACTGAACATTGAGGCTGTAATTTCTGTTTTTTTCATTAATACCAGTCATGTCGTTAAGATTTTCTGCCTTACTGTCGTTGCATTTAACATTGTTAGTTTCCCCATTTGTTTTTCATCTCCAGGTATGGTACCCAGTGACACCTGCTATGGGGAAGTCATCGTTTGATGGACCAGAGTGCATAAAGCAGGTAGGACTATTGGACATTCATTTAATGTTTCTTTTCATTTGGTCTTGTTTCAGTTTGAACATCTTAAATATGTATGTCTTGGTGTATTAAGTTGAACAAATAATTCGATGGACAAATCACATTGCTTTTATCTGAACCTGCAATTATACTTACCTTGATCCTTATCCCCACTTGTCCTTTGATGTATAAATTCAAAGAAGAAAAAATTGTGACTTAACTTTGTTATTGTGGCCATGTTTGTTGAAGAGGGGGCCAGTGTTTCATAAGTTCACTATAATTAGCATTATCCTATGTTTGGCAGATTCAAGTAAAAGGGAACACGTCAATCTCTATGTTCTTTTCAAAAAAGGGAGCCGAAAGAAAAGACACAAAGTCTGAGCAGAAGTTATCATGTAATGAATCTGTCAAGACTGAACCTACAGAAGACTTGATTGAAGGAGCAAAGACTGATGAGGTAGACAATGACTTGAAATTCAGTGGTTCTTCCCATTCTAAAAATGCTTCTATGCTCCCAATTAAGCGTGAGTACGAGACTTTTTCAGCTGATTCAAAGCCAGCATTGGCATGTCATGATCAGATAAGCTCGACCCCTGCAAAGAAAAAGGAGAAAACAAAAAGTGCTGATGACAAACAACCAACCTTGTTTTCATTCTTCGGAAAGAAGTAACTACTAAACTAACGGGTTTTGGTTTGCATGAACATGAAGATTGGTTTGTTGTATAATATAGTTCATGTTCAAGGGGAGTTTTATATAGTAATGCTTTTCTATTACTATATTATGATTTTGATGGTCACCAAATGTGGTCTCAGCTTTTGCCTGTTAGAATGGCAAAATACTTCCATTTTGGATCATTATCTGTTACAGTTGCATGGTTGAGTATTGTGGTGCCAAATGTCTTTGAGCATTCTTGCAACAAAATTTAAAATTGGCAATGAATCTTGGGCCCTTGTTGACTTTTTATTGCTATTTGAACTCAATTTATTAAACTGCAACTAAATTTAAATCTTAATTTAAGATATAAATCTGAATTAATGGTCAATCGTATGAAGAGAAGTTTAACTTGGTGCAGTATAAACAAGTTCTGAAATAGGTATGAATAAATGAACAATTTAGTTAAAATAGTAATTTTAAGCCTATCAAAATTTGTGATTGGTTGAAATTGTATTTATTTCTACATTTAGATTTAAGTAGTTTTCGTTTATTTTTCTAGTATCTTCCTGGTTTCTGTAGTTCATACTCAGTTTTAATCGCAGACTCTGGACAATGTCTGAAACTCCTCAAGCTTTGTACTAAAATTTGTCAACAATGACAACAAAGTTGTACGTGAAAACTTTTTCTTGATTAATTTTATAATCACTTAATATAAACAAGTTATTTTGGATCAAACGAAGTGGTATAAATACAACTTTTCTCATTAGGAAAAACCAATTGCTCTTTGGTGTTTTGAATCTCAACTTATTGTTGAGGACATACTGCAACATCCCAACATTTAAACCAAGAACATTGTACAAACACTATCAAGTGCTTATTAAACATGTATGATTACACTAAAGCAAACCAGAACTTTAGCCTTTTGACATTTTACATGAAGGTTCACAAAAGAGAATGTATATTAGATTCTTCCTCCAAGTTGAGTACATTCTTTTAGTTTTACACTTTCACTTTTCACATTTTGAAGAAAAGAAAAGATAGGAGATGAAATCCATTACTTGTTTGTGATTAACAAAGAGGAAACAGTTGGGGGCGTAGAAGAGGTAAAGACAAACAATAAGCCTCTATCCAATGATGCCCCTTTGGTGTTATTTCCATGATGATCTTCTTCAACATCCTAAGAGGAGCCATGACACCCCATTGTACCACAGGACGTGATCCAAGGCATAACCCTCTTCTCTTGTTTCCTAGCCGAATGCTGTTTCCCCGCCGTCGCCGGAATCGCCGCCGAGGCCGGCACAACCCAACCAACATGGTAGAACTTGGCAACATTGAAATGCTCACACCACCACCACCTCTCTTGAACATCATAGTAAGTTTCTATTCTTCCCAAATGTTTTGTTGTGTGACATTACATGACACTAAACTCTTTTATAGTATGTTTAAAAGGTACGTCATTCATGACCATCATAATGGTCATAATGGCAGCAATTATAACATGGCTAATGCTATAAGAATAATTGTAGTGTGCAAATAAAATAATGGTTTAGATGAATCCCTTTATTCTTCTTTAGTAGTTTAGGGTTGTGGCTGCCATCATTAGGAGGAGTATGCTTACAAGTTAAGATCGAATAAAATGAACTTAAGGTAGCCGTAAGAACTCTTTTCCTATGAGCTATTATTGTGACTTGTCTCATGCTTTCAATATGAGAAGGAAGAAGAAAAAGTTATCACATTATTGTTTTTTCTTTTCTGATTCATTTTTGAATAATGACGCTCCAATATGCCCATCAAATCACTTTAATTGATCATTTTCACTGTATAATAATTGATTAATCTTGGGTATACTTTATCAACATACTAGTATTTGTTTATAGCTTAGTTTACGTACTTTGTCCATAAATTGAGATTTGGTGTACAAAATCAATTCTATAATTGGACACAGATTAATTAAAAATTGTTACTTTAATGACTATATGCATTAACTGCGTAAAATGCTTTTACATTATTAACTAATTCAAAGTCATCAGTTATATTCTCTTTTAAAAAAAATAATTAATTATGATAATATAAAATTATTTTATACAGAGAAGAAAAACTCTAGTTGTAAGATATTTGTAAATCAAATAACATTGTTTTTTCAAATAAAACTTAATTAATTATTGGCTAAAGATATTGGGGCATATTGTAATACTCTAGTACAAAAAATATCGTATAACGTCGTTGTTTTTGATCTTTCACGTCGAATTTAAGGTCGACGTCATATCGGGAGATGTTAATTTGACGTTATCAAATTGACGTCGAATTTTGTCAATATTCGACGTTAATCAATTTTTTTGTTTTTTTTGTTTTTTGTAATGAATTGTGATTTTTTTTTACAACTCTACGAGATCTGAAAAGCAGAAAAACAACAAATTTCAGTTTTTGACATTTTATAAAGCATGAACTATGAATGTGTAGTATAATATCAACAACAAACAATAATAACAAACAACAAACAAGTTCAATCAAACAACAACAACAAACAAGTTCAACCAAACAACAACAACAAATAAGTTCAACAAAAAAAAAACAACAAACAAGTTCAACAAATAAGTTCTTCAAAACGAAAACAAAAACTAACCTTCAAAAGGTGGGTTATTCGGAATAAAGTGTCGTCACCAGTGAGAGAGAAAGCAGAATGCGCCTATGTGTTGGGTTATTGGGCTCCCTTCCTATGTGAAGAATAGGCCCAAATAATGTGGACCATTAGGTCTCACTAGGTTAAATTGAGATGGGTCAAAATACTAGGGCACATTAGAGTCATTTGAAGAGAGACAAAAGCCAAGTGAGATATGAGCCCAACCATATAAGGGATTGACATCACTCTTTATCCAAAACCTTAAGGTAATGGGTTAATGGATCTCTCATCTTTATATAGTGCTCTACTCTCTCATTTCTATCCAATGTGGGACTTAGACTCACACTTGGATTCCCAACACTATGAAGGACAATAACACGAAATAATCGGTCAAAACAAACGAAAATCATACATAAAGTAGTTAATTAACATGCATTTGTATCAAATGAAAGAAATATTACATGTGATAGTCGTCAAATTTCGTTCGAGACAAGTTTGAGAAGAGAAGAGAGTCTCGCGCACTAAGAGGAAGTGAATGAATTTTCAATCTCCCGCTCAAATTTTTATTGAATTCACTACAAAATACGTCAAAGCTCCTACACAATTCGACGTATTATACACTAGTGCATAATTGACCTTTAATGTCACCCCATAGACGTCCGTCCACCAAAACCCCAACGTAAATAATTGACCGGTGGCATAAATGTAAATAATTGAGTGTGGAGACGTCCGTCCTGGAGGGGGCCGGACGTCTATAATATAGTAGACGTCCGACCCCCCTAACGGACGTTCAAAAGGCTAACGGGAGAGTTGAAGATTCAACCTTTTGAACGTCCATTTTGGAGGAGGCCGGACGTCTACAATATTATAGACGTTCGGCCCCCTCCAGGACGGACGTTCAAAAGGCTGACGGGTGGAGTTGAAGAGTTGATTGCTTCAGCCTTTTGAACGTCCGTTCTGGAGGGGACGGGACGTGTACAATATTATAGACGTCCGCCCCTCCAGAACGGACGTTCAAAAGGCTGAAGCAATCAACTCTTCAACTCTCCCGTCAGCCTCTTGAACGTCCGTTAGAGGGGCCAGACGTCTACTATACTATATACGTTCGGCCCCCTTTAGAACGGACGTTCAAGAGGCTGACAGGGTAGTTGAACCCGTCAGCCTTTTGAACGTCCGTCCTGGAGGGGGCTTGACGTCTACAATATTATAGACGTCCGACCCCCTCTAGAACGGACGTTCAAAAGGCTGAAGCAATCAACTCTTCAACTCTCCCGTCAGCCTCTTGAACGTCCGTTAGAGGGGGCCGGACGTCTACAATATTATAGACGTCCGGCTCCCTCCAGAATGGACGTTCAAAAGGCTGACAGGGTAGTTGAACCCGTCAGCCTTTTGAACGTCCGTCCTGGAGGGGGCTTGACGTCTACAATATTATAGACGTCCGACCCCCTCTAGAACGGACGTTCAAAAGGCTGAAGCAATCAACTCTTCAACTCTCCCGTCAACCTTTTGAACGTCCGTTAGAGGGGGTCGGACGTCTATAATATTGTAGACGTCCGACCCCCTCCAGGACGGACGTTCAAAAGGCTGACGGGTTCAACTACCCTGTCAGCCTCTTGAACGTCCGTTTTGGAGGGGGCCGGACGTCTACTATATTATAGACGTCCGGCCCCCTCCACAACGGACGTTCAAAAGACGTTTAAAATAAGGACATATGCACCAAAACGTGAACCCGTGAGAGTTCCCTCTGCGCCTTGCATTTCTAGGTTGGTTTTTATCTATTTTGGACCATTTAATCTTACTTTTATTTCAATTAAATTGTTCAGTGATGAAATATCTTTCATTTGGACCGATTAAAAATCGTTTTCGGTGCGTTTTGGTGCAGTTTGTTGTGTGTTCTTGGGCGGCGTTTTTTGGCCTACGTTTTAGGTCGTGCACTCCTCCATTTCCCTTCATTTTCATTTCGAATCTGCTCTTCAGGCGTGTGGCAGTGGACAAACAAACGTCCAAACCTCGTAATCCTAAATAACCCGTTCAGCCATATAGATGTCCGTTCCGTCCCATAACGGATGTCTATATAAACGTCTGTTGTGTCGGAACGGACGTCTGTATAGACGTCTGTTTGTCCCATAACGGACGTCTATATATAGACGTCCGACCTAGCACAACAGACGTCTGGTTAACGTCACCCACAAAGACGTCGGGTTCATGTCGGACGTCAAAAGGCCAAAATAACAAACGTCTAAAGCCCTTTTTGCACTAGTGATATGTGGTTTAAAAGAAAAAAGAATTAAAAATGAGGTTACCTTTTGGCTTATGACTGACAAATAATACATCAAAGCCCCTACAGAATTCGACGTATTATTTGTTGTTTAAAAACAAAAAGAAAAAAGAATTAAAAAGGGGTAACTCTTTGGCTTCTGGCTAAAAAATAATACGTCGAAGCCCCTTCAGAATTCGCGTACTATTGGTGGTTTAAAAGAAAAAAGAATTAAAAAAGGGTCACTCTTTGGCTTCTAGCTGACAAATATTACGTCGAAGATCCTACAGAATTCGACGTATTATTGATAATTTAAAAGAAAGAAGAAAAAGAATGACGCGCTACGTCGAAGATCCTACAGAATTCGACGTACTATTGATAATTTAAAAGAAAAAAGAAAAAGAATGACGCGCTAATTTATATAATTACCATAATAGAAGG